TTGAAAATTCAGGAAACAGGCCTCTATCTACAGAATGGTAGAAGGGAAAAGAAGCTGAGGTTTTAGGGTTTTTTTAGGGTTTTTTGGGGGGCAGAGGGGGAGAGTTGACTTGTATGGCATTTTATAAGTGGTGCAAGCTGATAGGCATTTACTGTGCACTTTTTTTTCTAAGCTACTTCTCTAGCCCATGGAGCTGAGATATCCTTATGGGCACAGTAAACGGAGCTCCCTGAAGGAAAGGAACTGTTTAGCAAAATGAATGTTTATACCAGCAATGGGATACTGCACCTTCTGAAGGCCTCAACTCGAGGGCCACCATATCCTAACTAATTAGCTGGTTATACAACATCACAACAAAATATCCTATCTGTGTCAAAGCCATTGCCTTCCTACACAAAAGGCTAGCTGACAGGAGGAACCAAAACAGACCAAGTGATCAATGAACTGCCTCTAAACAGTGAAATGTGGGAGGACTTGTTGTAAGGGAACACTTGTGTGAACCAATGTGGGTACAGTTATATATTCCTTACTGTTAGATGCATTTAATCCCATTATAGCCAATGCATTTATTCATCCCCATTATGTTAGGTTAACAGACACCATTTATGCTGTCTTCCCAGCAGACAACAGGGCCACAAGAAGTTCCTCTCTTTTTACTCGAGGCTTTAACAGACACTGTACAGGTGTTATTCAGACCTAAACACTCATGACTTCCAGACAGTTTAGCAAAGCCCTTGATACAGTCTCCCATAACATTCTCGTAGGTAAGCTAAGGAAGTATGGGTTGAATGAATGGACTGTAAGTTGGATAGAAAACTGGCTAGATCATCAGGCCCAGAGGACAGTAATCAATGGCTCAAAGTCTAGTTGGCAGCCAGTAACAAGTGGAGTGCCCCTGGGGTCAGTCCTGGGGGTGGTTTTGTACAATATCTTCATGGGTGACTTGAAAGATGGCATACAGTGCACCCTCAGCAAGTCTGCAGATGACACCAAGCTGGGGGTAGTAGATATGCTTGAGGGGAGGGCTAGCATTCAGAGACCTTGACAAATTGGAGTATTGGACCAATAGAAAAATCTCATGAGATTCAACAAGGACAAGTGCAAAGTCCTTGCACTTAGGACAGAGCAATCCCATGCACCGGTACAGGTTGGGGGCTGACTGGCTGGGCAGCGGCTCTGTAGGAAAGAACCTGGGGGTTACAGTGGACAATAAGCTGAATACGAGTCAGTGTGCCCTAGTTGCCAAGAAGGCTAATGGCATACTGGGCTGCATTGGTAGGTGTGTTACCAGCATGTCGAGGGAAGTAATTCTTCCTCTCTATTCAGCACTGATGAGGCCACATCTGGAGTACTGTGTCTAGTTCTGGGCCCCCCACTACAGAAAGGATGTGGACAAATTGAAGAGAGTGCAGCAGAGGGCAGGGAAAATGGTTAAGGGAGCTGGGGGACATGACTGATGAGGAGAGGCTGAGGGAACTGGGCTTGTTTAGTATATAGAAGAAAAGCCCGAAGTGGGATTTAATAGTGGCCTTCAAGTACCTGCAGGGGGGTCCAAAGAGGATGGAGCTCAACTGTTCTCAGCAGTGGCAGATGACAGAACAAGGAGCAACGGTCTCAAGTTGCGACAAGGGAAGTTTAGGTTACATATTAAGAAAAGCTTTTTCACCAGGAGGGAAGTAAAACACTGGAACAGAGAGGTTGTGGAATCTCCATCCTTGGACTTTTTTAAGACCTGGCTAGACAAAGTCTTGCCTGGGATGATCTTGCTTTGAGCAGGGGGTTGGACTAGATGACCTCCTGAGGCCTTTCCAACCCTAATTTTCTATGATTCTTTTCCAAGCAAATCAATTTAAATCCTAGCAGTCCAACTTTCAGGAGCTTTCAGAACTCATAAAATGCAATGGAAGTGAGAGTGGTTCTCAGCAGCTCTGAAAACAGGATGCTTTCAAATGTGGTTTTCAGCTTCTTTGTGAACTGAGACCACTTTTCACTTACTGGAAAGGCTAGAAACCCTACGTGCTTTTCTTCTTTCAACTGATGAAGTGCTGGTTGAGTTTTTATGCACGAAACCACCAAATGAGCAAAATTGTGAATGTTTCCTAATGCTAGCTTAATTGCCTTCCTGTGTGTTTATGTTTGCAGTAAAAATAAATGGTGGTCAGTAATTCTCTGAAAACCACATACACTGCACACCACAAAATGCTACAGAAAACTATCATGAATGGAACAAACCTGCCACACTAGCATACGCAGAAGTGTCTTTGGCCAGAGATCATAACTGTGCCCGTCTCGTAAAAGGGGATTCAGCAGTACAGACGTTACAAGCATGTTCTGTGTGTAAAGCCATCAGTCAGAAATCACTGGGGAAAAAAGTAATGCGGCCATTTATGTAAACCAGTGTTCATCTTGTGAATCTACCTGCGTTTCCTTTCCATTCCCACATGACACGCAGTGAACGCACAATTCCACACAGGTATACTGGTCAGAAAGTCAAAGGAGGACTTGGCATGCCTAATACTTGACAAGGTCTCTAGATAAGCCTGAGGCAACTTTAATATTTAGTGATAAGCTTTCCAATAATACTCATCACTATAGTACTGACACATATACCCCTGCGTACAGAAACAATCGCCACTTTGCTCTATCTCTTTTTTTTGTATTAAAAACACTCTACTGTCCTCAGTAGTCTGGTATTTTAATGCATGTGCAAAGTACTGGAGTGTATCCCAAGACATGAGAAAGAGAGGCACTGCTCTAAATGCGATGGATATGCATGGGGTATTGGGGAAAGCTGTGACCTTGCATCTACTGAATGGCCAAATCTGAAAGCTTAGGTTCTTAACATACATTTATGTAGGATCTCAGAAGAAAAACCTTGGCTGGCATTTGGGAGGATTCCCCCCTTATGGATGGAAAAAATTCACCATAACGGAAGTCTTTCTAGACCCCTTTTGATTTACACACACAGACACACACACAGAGCAACAAGAGCAGCTACTTTTCTCACCGTTCAGAGTCTGATCCGCTCCTAGCACATTCCATTCTGCTGGCAATTTCAGATGTCGAAATGCCAAAGCCACTTTCTCATCCAGAAAATTCAGGTCCCCAGAGGGCGGCCTTGACCGATCCAGGAATCTTGTGAAGTTCAGTGCTTGCTGATTCCCAGCACAAGTTGCTAGGAACTGAGCTGCATCGTAGGCCTCATCCTGAATGAACTGAAACCTGTCCTCTGCCACCACCAGAATAGGAAGTCCTTCCTTGGAGGCACAAAGCTCCACTTTCACCGTCTCGCAGCAGTCATGGCCTGAAAAATAAAACCAAAGAAATGAACATAATGATAACACAGAAAGAACTGATTAGACTGAAAAGAAACATGTCTAAACAGTACAAGATCCTATGAATGAAATCATGCACGAGATACCATGATGGTACACACATACATATATCGACCCATATAAAATAGTACTTGACGAACTATAGAGTAACAAAAGGCCTCCTGAACAGGACTGCACTACTTCAGAATCACATAATCAGAGGGGTGAATAAGGATCTTTCCTCAGATTTCTCCTCTCCAGAACCAAATCATATTATAAAATGATTATAAAAGATTATAAAATGTTCCCTATGTCCACAGATGAATAGGACAAGTAGTAATGGGCTTGCTTTGCAGCAAGGGTGACTTAGACTTGCCTCCAGGAAAAATGGCAGTAGCTATATAGTAGTATTAATTGCCATTAATGTGTTAATTTGATTTAGCACTCTTTTTTTTAATGCATGTTAATTGCTGCTGGTGGTGAGGCAAAAGCAGCCGCTTTTCCCTTGCTGTTGCATGCCTGCCTGTGCTGCAAAAGCAGCCCCTCTCCCGTCACTGGTGTGTGCCTGCCTGTGTTGCTGGGGGAAAAGCAGCCCCTCCCCACTTGCTGCTGCCCAGACAGACACAGGCACAGTCCTGAAAGCAGACTCATCAGCTGGATGCAGGTAAGTGTACGGGGGAACGGGGGGTTGGAGGACCAGGTCTTGGGACTGTCTAGGGTTTGTGCATGTGTGCGCACATCCAAAAATACTTATTACAAAATTGGGATTCTATTATTGTTTAACTTCATGATTAAAATTGCAATTAATCGCAACCATTTTAAGTCTTGCAATTAATTACAATTAATATTTTTAATCATTTGACAGCCCAACTATGTACATAATAAACCACTAGACAAGATTACCTAGGGAAGCAGTGGATTCCCCATCATTGAAGGCTTTAGAGAGCAGGTTAAACAAATATCTGTCAGGACTAGTTAGGTTTGATCCTGTTTTGGGAAAGAGTAATGGTCTAGGTCAGTGGTTCTCAACCTTTTTTGTACCAGGACCCATTTGTAAGCACCAATGGCCAGTCCTGACCCAGTGCCCCCCATTCCCGACCCACTGTCCCCTGCCCCTCAGTATGTGAAGCGGGGGTGGGAGGAAACTCTGCCAGCCTGCAAGAGAAAAGCCACAGTTTCCCACATTTTTCTCCTTCAAAATGAGACTCCATTTTTAAAGTCTGATCCATTTTTAAGTTTGTTCGTGACCCTTTTGCAACTTCTGGGTTGCAACCCATGGATTGAGAAATGCTGGTGTAGATGACCTCTTGAAGTCCTTTCCATCCATGATGGCTGTGAGTCATGGGAGTGGACTCCCTTCTATCACCAAAAGGCCATTTCAAGACCACTAATGGACTCAGGGAAAAATGCCCAAAGGTACCAAGGTACCTGGGTCCCTAGTGAAAAAGTCAGGCGCATCTGGCACAGAATTCCCATTAGGACTTTTACAATCAAACCCTCACAGTTCAACAAAAAACACATTTCTAAAAACGTTTGAAAGATGCCAGGAACCCATCTGAAGTAAAAAAGGGGCAGGTGTTACAAAGCTACATCTTGCATCAGCATTGAGACCTTCATAATTTTTGCTCAAACAACAAAAAGGCAACGATTACAAAAATAACATAGCCTGCTTCAAATACGCTGTGTATACGTGATCAGGTCTCTTATTCAGCACCGCACCTGCCATTTGGAGTTGGTTTCACATGGCAGAACTAAGCTTGCTGCATTCCGGAGAACAAGGGGATTGCTTCTTTTCATATTTATTAAAAAAAAAAAAAAGCAACTTATTTTCACAGCTCTGCTAACTTCTCATTTACTTATTTTAATGAAAGGCTGGCCCAGCAGGGCAGCAGTTCCACAGCCCCAGAAAATGCAAAATAAACTTCCTTGCAATTTACAAGGGGAAAATATATCATCTTTTCAGCATGACCAGCATTTGTATTTGCCAGACAAGCCCCTTTAATAACATGGTTTGTGTTTCAAGTTCACTGTTCTCTGCAGTCTCTTTCTGTCTCTTGCGCCAAAGCTAGACCAACGTCATTGCTGTTTTTGCCAGAACAGCATGGACCCTTCACTAATTACTGGAAAAGCTTCTTTCTCTACCCATGATCTCAGCATCTTACTACGTTGATCAAACCCTATTTATTCTTTATTAAATATACGGGACGAAGGATTTTTTTTTTTTTTTATACACAGGTTTGAAAATGTCATTTACCCACATACCAGTGGTGAGCAGGAAGCCTTGCCCTGGTGGTGTAGGGGTCTTAGCTCTTCCATTCACTTCTAAAAGAAAAATACGTCCCCTCATCTTTGCGGTGGCGAAGAGAAACTTTTCAGTCGGATCCAACACTTCGGCAGCTGTTCATAGCTTTGTCAAGCAGTAGCAGAATTGTCATTCCATTTCTCCAACTTGGGGTTTTGTGGAAGCAGCCAAATTGCCAAGCATCATATTAACAGAACACTACTACTTAAGAAAAAGATTGGCAATTGAGGCAGTTTACAAAAGCCTCCACAGAAGAGGAGGTTATAAAGAAAGAGGGGCTGCCAGGGAGGAAGAACAGCTGAAACATCTCTTTACAGCCCCTCACAGATGCCAGGAGGCTCTGGTTTTGGGAAATGAGGCTTCGCACTTACCAGAAACCTACTAGCTGCCATGCAAGTGCTTAACTGCAGGAGAAGAGAAGACTGAATTCTGCACTGTTTCAGAAAATCGTGCTCAGGAAATGGTACAGATGGCAAAACTGGTCTTTTCACACCTGTAATTCAACCAGATCCAGCACCAGCTGATGATATCCATCACCAACAATAGGTTTATGAGGATACGATAATGTAAGGCTAATTCAGGAGCTGAGGGTAATACCCCAACAGAAATCCTAGCAGCACAGGTTGTATGGGAGGGTAGAGAAGGTGAGGTGCCTCACTAAGTTACTGTTCTTGGACTTCACTAGCCCCACCTTTTGCGTCTTCCTCAGGCTAGTAGGATTAGCAATCTACTTAGCAAGAGCCTAGTAAATGCGTCCATCCCCGTTTCACAACAGGATGGATAAAATTATACCTACCACAGTAATTATAGAGCCTTGACCCACAAAAAGCAGCTCAGGTGCTGCACGCTGTCTTAGAATCATAGAAATTGAGGGTTGGAAGGGACCTCGGGAGGTCATTTAGTCCAGCCCCCTGCTCAAAGCAGGACCAGCCCCAGCTAGACCATCCCAGCCAAGGCTTTGTCTTCTCTAGTACAACCACTGATAGCAACTGGTGGTAGCAATTCATTAGCCTGTAAAGTTAAAAAACATTTCAGAATCAAAGACTCTCCAACATGTACACACCCCCTGGGTTGCTGCTTCTGTTTTTGAACTCTAATTTTCTCTTTTTCCAGGAGCATCCCATCTTCAAGATGTGCGAGCTGACAGCCACCTGTCGCTCAGATTTAAACAGCACTTCTTCCAGCACAGCCAAGCAGCAGTTATCAAATGTTAGCAAGCTGGTGTCCAGGAAAACAATTGGTGTCATTTGCTTCCACCGCCTCCTACATGAAACCAAGTGATTCTTCTACCTATCTGATACTGCCCACTGGCTTTTTAGTTTAAACAGTAACAAGAGAAATCCCATATGGGATAAGTGGATTCCCACTGCCAAATTAGCTGGCACGGCATTCAGGGTGTCATAACAGACATCACCTAGCCACGCAGAACAAACGTTCCCATGAACAGAAGAGAGGAGTGAGCCCCAAATATCAGGATTACTGCACCCAATTTAAAATAAAACCATATGGGTATTAAGTGTAGCACAGGGGGAAGCAACCAGACTTTGTGTGTTGCTTGGCGGCCAGTCATGGTCTTTTGGAACTCCCACAAATATCCAACACAGCTTTCAAAGGGAGGTGAGGGAGCTGACAATTCATTTATGTCTAATAGGATCAAACAAGTGTTCTGCTAAACCAAGGGGAATGTTCTAAAGGGCAATGTACCCTTTCCCCTCGAAGGCTTTGATGTCCTCCTTCCCTACATCTGACAAAATGTCAGAGTCAGGGTGAGAGTCTGGGACAGGTTCTGACTTTGGCAAACAGTTCAAAAGCAAGACAAGCAATTAAGCAAGAAGCACAGCAAATACTAAGATTGCTCAAGAGCTCTCTGCCCCCTGCTTTGAAATGTCTTTGGAATGGTGCATGCAAATACGCTTCAAATACACGAACACACACAAACCTTGTGAAGGGACCACTGGCAGTGGGAGAAAATTGCTCTCGGCTTCAAAAGACCCCCCCCCACTCTTGAC